AGAGAGAGAGAGAGAGAGAGAGAGAGAGAGAGAGAGAGAGAGAATAATACATGTAGGCCTACAGATAAGGGAAAAGTGAAAAAAAAAATCCTTTGAAACTGAGAAAATAAAATGGGAGTCAATTTATTGTTTGTACCGGTTATCGAAGGGAGACAATCCTGTTTGTTGCACAACAACACTGAACGAACAGCTGACTGAACTAGATTTCAATTTCAAGATCTCAAGATCGAGCCTGATGTTTCAGTTTGTTTGGATCAGTTCCCAAGTTTTGTCGTTGATCTTTACAATTTTCTGACTGTTAGATTTCTATAGATCTATATAGGCTCTAGAATCTAGATCTAGGTCGAACATGGGTTTTGTTGGGGAATCCAACGGTTAGGATTCTACGTTTCTGTCCAATATTTGTGTGCTTGCACTTGCAACACAGTGTGTATGGTGGTATAGATCTAGAATCTAGAGACAGGGCCGAGTCTGCTCTTCGAACGTGGAGAATGAATCAACAGGTAGGCAAATCAGCAATCTGACGATCTGACGCTGACCTGAGATTCTGAGATACTGAGAAAATAAGTTGAAGTGAATGGACAGATCTTTCTCTGTTTTTGTTGTTTAATTTATAGTTCGGCTTTCCGAGCCCCTGAAAAAATGAAAAAAATCCTCCCCTCCACACCAATTGAAAGTAAAAAGAGCAACAAAAATAAAGGGGGAAAAAACACCACACTCAACCAGTGGCATTTTACCAACTTACAAAGCCGCCAAAGCTGATGGAATGAAGGAAATTATTTGGCCGGCTCTATTTCTCCGAATGCTCGGGAAAATAATAAACTTAGAATCTATATTCCTCCGAACGGTTTCTGTGTGTGTGTGTGTGTGTGTCATGTGAGTGTGCGTGTGTATGTGTGTGTGTGTGTGTAGGGTGTGAACGGACGGGATGGAGGGGGGGGGGAGAGGGATTCTTTTGTGATTTAATTTTGGCCGACTCTATTTCTCCTGAAATGATCGGGACAACAATATTGATAAACTTGAACTCTATTTCTCCGAACAGTTCCGTGTGTGTGTGTGTGTGTGTGTATAATGTGTGAACGGGTGGGGTCGAGGAGGGATTTTATATTTGTTTACATGGAGGATTTTAGTTTTTTTACTTTTGGGGTGACTAAATGCAATTATAGGTTACTGCCGAAGTCGAGCTGTCTTGTTTTCTCGCAGTACCTTTTGAAGGCTTTAATTTCAAATGAAGTGTATAGTCTAGGAACGTTACCCTAAACTCAATTGAAGTGTATCTGAATATTCAGACTTTTAAAAATCTTTAGAATCTAGCTCTAGAAATTGAATTTGATGCAAAAAATGCTTCCTCCAAGTCCTCGCAGAATGGCAGTATAATGAAAAATGATGCGGAAATCTCTCAAATAACAAAAAAATCTTGAGAACGGAAACCGTTTAGAGAAATACAGGTCAGGTTTATTTTCCAGAGGGTTCGGAGAACTATGCAGTGCTTCGTTTAGTTTTTGCTGTGGGTGACTAAATGCAAAATAGGTTACTGCCAAACTCGAGCAGTCTTGTTTTCTCGCAGTACCTTTTGAAGGCATTTTTTCAAATGAAGTATAGTCCGGGAACGTTGCCCCAACTACAGTTGAAGTATCTGAATATTCAGACAACTAGAGATTTCTAGCTCTAGAAATTGAATTCGAGGCAAAAAAATAAAAAGGCTTCTTCCGAGTCCTCGCAGAATGGCAAAATGAAAGAAGACGCTGAACTCTTCCAAATAACCATCCGAACTCGAGAACAGAAACTGTTCGGAGAAATACAGTTCAAGTTTATTATCCCGAGCATTTGGAGACATAATCTCTTCAAAATTATTTTCCCTTTTAAGCAGTTGAATTGTTAAGATTGTTGAACATAATTTGTAAGAATATCCTAGGTAATTGTCAAGGAACATTATAATTTTTTACACCTTTTCTCTGTGTATGATCTTGTGCTTTGTTAGATGTGTGTCTTTTGGGGTACTGTTAATGAATCATTTTAAAAGTCTTAATAAAATTTATGAAATATACTGGACAAGGATTATAATGTCTATCTAATAATACATGATGAATTGGACTGAGAACTCTGATGTAATTTAATGCAGTTTTCCTTCACGATACACACTTCATTCCTTGTTAGGTCCCTCCACTCATCTCCCTTTCCTTTTTATCTCATTTTATTGAGAAAGACAAAGGACCCACCATTTCAGAACATTGTTGTTTTGTATTTTCACGGCAGTATACTCAGCGTTTCCTTCAACTTCAACTGCACATTTGGATCATAATCATATTACGTTTTGTCAACTGTCAGAATTTCCTTAGGCGTAAAACAGCACATCTTTGTCTATTCACATGTTGAATTTATAAATAATCATTTAATTTGGGCTTACAACCTTTTCTTTTTTAAGGTATAGCCTACCACGAAAAAAGAAACAATTTCAAATCAAACTGGATAAAAGTAAAAAACTCAAAATTTACCCTTTTGCCTATTCTACACCCATTGTCTGCTACACTTTAGGTATTATTTTTAGAATATCATATATGATTTATAGAATGTTTTTCCTTCAGTTACTTTAAAGAAAAAAATCTTAATTTCAATTTATATGGCTGAAAGGATTTTGTGCTGTCTCGTTATATGGTTGGAGGACTTGCATTTCTTTTTTTGTTGTTGTAATTTTGAAAATTAGTGTCTACCAAACTTAATTTTGAACTGTGTGGTCTTTGTTTCTGTTTGTTCTCAGGTTGATGAGGCTGTACCGACTGTCTCTGAGCTACAAGATCAGCTCCGTCAAGCCATTGACGGGCGTCACATGGTGGAAGGGAAGCAGTACATTGATGCTCTGTCAGGTCAAGACACAGATGCTCAGAGGCCAAGTTCACTAAATCGCTATGTCCATTCTCATCAGCCAGCAACACCTTTTCTTCATGCCATTGCCCGAGGGAATCCAGAGCTAGCTCTTTATTTGCTAGAGAAAGGCTGCAACCCTTTCGCAGATACAGATTCTGGTAAAGAGGGAAGTTTAAAATTTCCCGAAGTCCGTCGTTCTAAGACTCTTTTTAAACTTTTTGAAAAAGCTGGATTTCAGAAAGTGTTCTGCACAGTGTTAGAAAAAGCTGAAGAACTGATTGTAAACAAAAATGGGGACTCTGCTTTGCATATTATAGTAAAGAAGAAACTCATTGTCTTGTTTGAAGTAGCTCTTCGTTCGAAATGGCTCGCAAGAATGATGAAGCATTACAACAACCAGGGCTATCTGCCATTGCACATAGCTGCAAGCTCCAACTTTGTTGAATTCTTTCAAGTTTTTTCTCAACAGTGCTGCCCCATTTCTTTATTAAGGAGTAATTTGTCAGCAGATTGCGACTCTTCTCTTTTCTCTGAAGACCATTCTGATTGCAAAGATATTCAAAATGGAACAAGCTGTTATCTTCGAGACAATGTCTTAGAGGCCAGCAAAAATCTTAAGGTTAATACAGCTCTCAAGTATGCCAAATGTACTGCTTTGCACCTTGCCGCTCGAGAGAAATCACTAGTGATAGTGAAAATTTTGTTGCAATTGGGTGCCAACGCGAACTGTTTGGATGAGTGTGGAAGAACTGCACTAATTGAGTGTTTAGACCACAGAGGAGAGAAAAATATAACTAGCTCTTTAAACACAGCTCTTTATGAGGTATGTCGAACGTTACTAGAGTCAGGGGCTAATGCCAATGTTAGAAGTCACATCAGGTTCTCAGAACGACGTTCCATGAGCATCGATGATATTCTCACCCCCTTACATCTGGCTGCAAGGATAGGGTTGAAAAATGTTGTGGAGCTCCTGCTAGAAAATGGTTCAAACCCCTGTCAGTTCAGTGGGGACACTGGAAAAATTCCAGCCCAGTTTGCTTTGGAGCAAGGACATAACGAGGCAGCTTTGACTTTGTTACGCTCTAGATTGTACCCTGATGGCTTCCTAGCTCAGCACGCAGACTATGCCTTCAACTCACTTCTTCACTCTGCAGATAAGTGCAACCCAGAAGTAACACAACTTCTTGTCCAGCTCCAGTGTCCCCTGGACAGACCAAATGTGAATCATTTACGGCCTCTTGACAAAGCCATTAGCAGCAAGAACATTTCTTTTGTCCAGCTACTGTTAGATACACAGCCAAGTATTGTCAATGTCCAGTTGTACCAAGACCCTAAGGCCTACCCTCCACTACATCTAGCTGCTAGCTCTGGTGATGTAACTCTGTGCAGGTTGATTCTCTCCTACGGTGCTGACATCTACACAAGGGCATACGGCAAGCACCCTGCCTACCGCAAAGCTTTGAGATTCAACAGGCATGAAGTAGCTGTCTTTCTTTGTGAGCAAATGTCTCGTCCTTTCCCACCTCAGGTGCAAGAAGACCTAAAAGACCATCTGGACCAGCTTGAGACACCATTATCTCAACGACTGAAGCATCGACTCGAGTCTGTCCCATCTCTTGTGGCATTGTCCCTAGACGCTATCAGACAAGTGTTCATCAAGAAGTATCTGTGCTTTAAATATATGGACCACCTCCCTCTCCCAGCCTCACTAATTAGAGCTCTTAAGTATCAAAATATAGATTGTTCAGGATGACTTTTTATTTGATATTCTTTTTCGTTTCACTAGTTGCTTCTTCTTCTCTAAGATGTTTAATTAGAGTAACCACTTCTGATACGCCAGTGTCTGTGAGTTGAAACAGCATGCGTCCTGAATGATCTAAAGTGTGTAATTCATGAGCTTGTCCCACTTCATGTCTTTCGTGATAGGTGCCTATAATATCATTTCTTGGGTATAACAGACTTCAATGATGACAAGGTCCTAAATTTAGAAACTTGGTAGATCATCATCTTCTTCTTAGTTTTTTTTTCAGTTGTCAGGTGTTGCATTTCGGACCTTTCTGCAATTAAAAAACCCCTCTTGACTCTTGTGTTGTTTGGATCAAAGTAAGATCAAAATGGGTAAAACTCAGAGTCTATTCAGTATTTTTAAAATCTATGAAGAAACTATATTGCAGAAGAACCTTTTATGAACCAACACTCTCAATTACTCATAAATGAAGGCATCTAGTACTAGTTGTGACAGCAAAACAAACACGTTGGCAACCATTAAGATTTAAGTTTGAGTTGCTGTTTGGTTTTGAGAGCAAAAGGGAATAGTCCACCTGAAATTCAATCTGAATTAGTTACTGTATATGGCAATAATGTGATGAGTAAAAACTAAAGAGGTACATGTGTAATCACTGGTGCAGTTTGTTAGGAGAAGGGCCTTCCAACTTAAGGGACACGCCACTTTCAGGACTTCAGTGTAACAAAACAAGATGTAGATTGATGCACTTTTCTTTGGGATAGGTGAATCAACATGCGTGATATTTCTCTGTCAGTAGAGCTTCCACCAACTGCAATTCAAAGTATAATTTACCACCTGGGATATCTCTAAGAATAGGCTTGATTGACCCCTAAGCTAAGAAGAGTAGCTCTATTATGTAAGCATCCCACATGTAAAGGTTTTATTTGAATCACAATAATTTGTTGGTTCTTTGACCATTTGCTGTACTTTCCGAACAATCCTTGAAGTTGTTTTGGTTCTAAGCCAGGTTTCTATATTCTGTTGCTGTCTTCTGATAGGTTTCCCCATTACTCCCTTGCCTTCTGCCTTTGCTGCTTCTAGAATTTTTATTTTGAGTGAATCATGGCATTTTACATGCCTAGAGTTCTTCAGTATCAGTTTGATTATGATCTGGAAAAATGTTGGTGTTTCTATACCTATTCTTTCTAGTACGTTATCATTCTTTAATTTCTGTCTCCAGGATATTTTCAGAGTTCTTCAAAAACATTTCATTTTGAAAGCTTCACATCTGAAGTGGGGAATATGGTATTTCTCAGAATTCTTATTTTTCTATCTCTGCATTGTCCTTTCTAGATGTATGTCGACTATTGCTATTTTTGATGTTGAGATTACAATTCATTTAGTCTCTGGTTTGTTTTTTTCCTTTTGCCTCAATCCTGTCTAAAAGATATTCAAAACTGTATTCTCTTTCTATATACCTTGATCATGATATGGGATTCCCAAGATATATTATATATATATATGAGTATGTCCTCATTGTGGCTCAGAAATATTTTCCCTTAATATTTGAAATGAAATGTGGAGTTTCTCTAGTTTAAATAGTATTCTATAAAATGTCCTCACATTTTTCTCACTGTACGTTTTGTATGATGAGAATAAAAGCTTAGTTCCAGCGCTCATAGCACTGTATAATGTAATTTCAGATTTCCATTTAAAGCTGTCCAAGAAGTCCAGTTTTCCATTTTAGTCTTTTGTCTGTTACCATTTTCACACCTTCCTGAGGCCATACACGAAGAGAAAGTGTAGCTGCACTTTTGAGCCTTAGTTCAGAGCACATTGAGATCAGGTTTTGTCCCATATGGTAGCAGCTTGCGAAATGAACAGATTTCCGTTGCTTTCCCCACAAGTACTCGTCAACTCATACAGCTTCATTTTGTAGATGGTAGGCCTACAAGTAATTTCAGCTTTTTACTCCATTCTTTTCTCTTTTCATCATAACAATATTTAGTTTTTTTAAGACAATGATTACCGGTGTCTGTAGTGTAACACTTATGTTCTTTACTATTGCATGCAGAAGAAATGAGTTTGATTTTTGTGTAGAGAGAATTGTAATCGAGTATCTGATCTCCATCTGTCTTCCGGGACAGTGTCTCCTTCTCAGCCTTGGTTGGACCTGACATACATTGCTGAAATTGCCATTTAAAACTGGCCATACTAATTAATTAATATTATGGTGTCTTTTTAGTTTTAATTCGACAGAAATGCATGGCTAAGAATAGATGCTTTTACAATATCTTTCTTGGCTAAGGTGTTCTCCTGTACTTTAACTGACCCACATACTTTTCTTGCTCCTGAAGAGACAGTCGGTACATTCAGATTAACGGGTCTAATAATGTTAATCCATGACAAAAGTGGAGTGGATGGGTGCAAGTCTGTTGTTCACAATACTTCTGTGTAGAATTGCTTTCTGTGTATTTTACAAGGATTCGTGAATAATGCTGTGTCCTGTCTAGAGTAGTTTATGGTTGTTCTATATTTTTACTGACTTTTGCAGCTTTTTTCTTTGCGTAAAGCGTCAAAATCTTGTTTTTGTTGATTAGCTGTTTGAGTGAAATCTTGTCTGAAAGGTTTTTCACAAGATAGTTCTTCTGCATTGCTTCAAAGGGGAGAAAAGTTAGAATGGCACATCACATCAGGTTTTCATTGTGTTGATGGATTATTATGATTGTGTTGCGACATGGTGGAATCAGGTGCTCGTCGATTGTTGGGGTTATTATAGAGTTTATTGCTATCATCTTAAAGCTTGATCATTTGTCTTGCTTTTAATAATAAAAGCAATTCATCTGTCTTGAATACAAGTTGAGATATCAGTAATTGGAGAAGGTGGTGTCGTGAAGTTAACGAGGAAATGATCACGAAAGTTTTGTGATTTCCAAATCTTGGTAGCCCTTGTATATTGCAAATTTACATTTCCTGTGCCTTTGATAAATGTTTTTTCCCAGTAAAATAGCACAAAAATGTGTTTTTAAATGGACATAAAAGGTCTTGAGTCCCCCCCCCCCCCCCCTCCGCCATGCCCCCTAAAAACGTTGATATTGCCCAACGAGTACTTGGATTTTCCCAGTCACCTGATTTCAACACAGTGCCACACATTGTTTCCTCTGTTTTTGGTTTTTATCAGCATATGTTATGAGCATTGTTTTTGTACTTTAGTAAGGCGTGTTGGTTTTTGGTGTTTCTTAAACTCTAATGCATGTCCTATATTCACTGAAAAGTGATACTGTGTACAATGGAAAATCATTTGTTTACTTCTTTCCTTAACCCTTACAGCCCCAGTCGCATATATTCCCCTCACAAGTTTTCGTTTTCCCCAGCACAGTCAATTGTATTTCCATCACAGGGTGTGGCCACCTGAAACCCAGACTGGTATTTTTGCTGAAAAAATTTATCCAATTGTCCGTGGAAAATATTCTACATGTTATCTTCTTAAAATTCAAACAAATGCAGTGTAAAAATATTTTTAATGTCTGCTATAAATTAAAGACACAATCAGTATTCTCTGGGTCTGATGAGTGAAGAACTCCAATATTATCTATGTTTGATAGAAATGAGAGTTAAAATAGCCTGGTGCTGTAAGGGTTAACAGTTTTTCTTTCTTCATCACTGTTGTATGTTGTGTTATCAACAGTTTTGTGGCCTCAATGTAAGTGGTAGTTTGTGTTTTGTTCTTTTGGTTCTGTATTGGCAGATATTCTTTTTCAGTTTTTGCTATTCTAAGCACAAAAAACACACATTTTTATGGTAGTAGTTCTGTTAATTATTGTCATTTTTTTTACGTGTGGTTCTTTCTGTTAATTCAATTATATGTTTTGTCCATCTCATGTCTTTGAAGGGGAGAGGGAGAAGAGTAATACATTGATTTTCTGAAAAGAGTGATGTTGACAAAGTGTCCTTTGAAGATGTAGGCTGCTTGCAATGAACAAATACCCAGTTACTTGGATGTACCGGTACTCTAAGTATGTGGTGATCAATGGCATTAGTTGTTAAAATTTCGATGTGTTGTGTTTACCTTCAGTTTGCTAGAAATCTTACACATGCCTTCTGTGTTCATGTATACTTATTTTTCATATAGTGTTTGTCTTTTTCTCTACTATTTTGCCTTCTGTTGTTCTCAACGTCATTGCTAGTCTGTGAAGTCAGTGAAATTTTCTTCTTCTTCTTTGTCAATGATTTGTTTCCAATGCTTTTATTTTCTTGCTGAGCTATTTTTTTTCTTTCATGAATTACTGAAGCCCGGTCTGAGCTGTTTTTACTTATTTCAAGGTCTAGTAATTGCCTAATCGACACATGGGATAAAATTGTTGTTTGTTTGGGATTGATTTAATGGAAGATGAAAGATCTCCGCAAAGCATTTGCGCATTTTGCATCAGGCGTCTGAAGTGTTTCCACATATGGTATCTCAATCTGACAAGTGGTGAAAAAAGCTGTTCAATGTCATGTTAATGTTTAGCTCTGAGTTCCATTCTAATGCACGCTGCACCTTCCAATTCATCTTGAGGCTATCGGTACTGTTTTTAGCTGTAGATATTGTCCTAGGTATTCTGTTTTTCTTCTTGAGGAGACGAAAAAAACTGCTCGTTGTGATTTTTGTATGCTCTTTGAAACTTTCTACACTTAGTGTCCAAGCACTGTTAACGTTTTTACTGAAAAGTTGTATAGTTCTCATGCTTAGCATAAAATTGTGCCCTCTATCTAACTATGATAATATGTACTAAATTGATTATATAATAATACATCTGTGAAACAATTGTGGTGCTTCCCATTATTCCTCTGTTTAGCTCGAGAAATCATCTCTCATTACTTGTGCTCTCTGATGTTTCCATCCTCTATGAAATGTTGGTTTTATTGACTTCACTGACCAGAGATGACTAAATACCTCTGTTTTACAATGCCAGTAGAACATTTGCTTACCTAAATTATGGGTAAAAGGACATGCCACTTGTTCATTGGGCATTAAGTTTAAGCTAAACTACAGATCCCAAGCTGAGCATTCTTGAACGTGACTTTATTTTCAGCGACATTTTTACGCCTCACCTCCCAGTTGCCTTGGTGCAATAGGAGATGGATGTTAAATTCAGAGGTTCCGCTTTTAAAATAAAATTGATCTGACACTTTTGAGAGGGGCATAAATCCATATATATCATACTAATAGTATAGTTGCATTCATCTTCTGATACCAAAACAACCAGGGTGTAAAGATTCATTTATATTATGTTACATTTTTGGCAGTAGTTACATGAAAGAGAAATGTCTTCTGAACAAAGCATTTTTCAGTTGTGTAACTATAACGTATGTATTGTTTTATAATATCCTTTGTTGATGGTAAGTGCTTTTGTTGGGTCACGAAAAGTTGCTTATTATGCTGATCATTATTTAATGTGGATTTTCATTTCATTACATGATCAGTTGACATTGGATGTGATAACTTTGTGCCTGACTAAAGATTTCGTGATATAGATGTTATGTATTTCAGTGATATAATTACTAATGACTAAAGTATATTTTAGTGACTTTATTATTAGTTAGTGACGATTACCATAATTATGTTGCATAACTTCTACTTTACAGTAGATAACTGCATAATGTGGCATTTAGAGATTTGACATTTGAGATCGATTACTTACAGATTGTTGTTGTTGTACTTGTTGTTGTTTTATCATTTATATCATGTGATCATGGTTTCGTCAGTTGTCAATGATGTGCAAGTAATTGGTTACCACAATAAAGTCAGTCTTATCGAACACCCTACATCAGTTGTTACATCATTGTTTTTCCTTCGTGGTGTGGCTAGTGTTTCGACTTAGTGCATACAAGTGAGGTGACCGTGTGTGATTCTGTTCTGTCTTGTGATTCTATTTACGTCTTCTCTCTCTCTGTCTCTCGCTCTCTCTTTCTCTCTCTCTCTCTCTCTCTCTCTCTCTCTCT